AGGGATGATGACCCTAAGGATGAGATGCTTTACCCCTAAGTCATTCCCATTCCTGACAACTCAGCAGTATATTTCTCCCTGGAACTTGGATAAAAAATTGGGTGAAGAGGGAAAACCCTAGATTTATTAAATTTCCAACACATAGGAAAAGGTATGCATAATATAATTTGAGTTATAGAGAAATACAGACAGCTTAATTTTTTGTACTACTGAGAATATAAATGGAGATTTATAAGCACTACAGCTATCAAGGAGGTGATGGAGTCCAGAGAAGCCTTCCTGGCAGGGCAGGTGTCTGAACTGGGATGTGAAAAGTGGATAGGAATGGGCCAGATGGATGAGGGTATTAGCAGGAGTTATAAAGTCCAAGAGGGGAGTTACGCCCTGCCGAAGGAATAGGTTGCTCAAAACCCTGAGTACTGAAACAACTAGGGTGCTCACTAGAAATGTTATCAGTTCAGCGTTTTTGGAGATTGACCACAAAATATGAAGGAAGTAGTGAAACAAAGAGGTAAACAGGAAGGCACAGGTCGAATAATATGAATAAAGTTGTATGTGATTTTATTTTACTAATGAAAAACTGGGGGCCCTAGCCCCTCCTTATCTCTCCAGACGCAGGCCACTCCACACTCCTCTTGTTTACTATGTTTTACCCAGACTGATCTTTTCCTCAAGTGTCACAAGCTTCATCTTGCCCTAGGGCTTTTAGATGAACTATCTTTTTTCATTATGCTTTCCCTTCTCCTACCACATTAAACTCCTATTTACTTGTAGATGTGCATTGTCCTTTAAAATGGTCACCTTGGAAAGCCATATACTTATTTATTGGTATTATTCTTGCATAAACAATTTTGAGACTTACCTTTAAAACCTATTTATGAGCCATTTCAGAAAACCCATTTTGTTAGCTTGTCTAAGACTTCCTTTTGGACCTCTTTAGGTAATATAATCCTGAGAGTTATACCTCCTAGGCTTTGGATGACATTTGTCTGTTTCCAAACACCAATTCCATTGCTAATGGAGGAAGAGGGACAACTGTTAAATATCTTCAAAGCAATGAACCATGGGCTCTGAAGATTACTGAAAGATGGATCCTAGAAATGTCTTAGGCAAAAACAGTTTATCATTGAGATAAGTGAGTACTCTTCTAATGTGGTTCATTTGAGTGTTTGTGTATGCTCATTATCTTAAACTCACATCTGAGGAACTCATTGGTGAGATGACTTAAAAAGGCCTATTTTTACTCAAATATGTGGTAAACAAAACCAAAGTACTTGTTCTTGAAACACCCCCTATCCCTTACTTCATATCCCCAAAGTAGCTCTAGTGGTGAGATTTGAGTTTAACTATAGAACCCATTGTTGAGTTCAGAATTAAATCACTTAGATCATCATTTCTTGATCTCACTGGCTACAGAATAAATACAGTGATATATTTAGCCAATTACTGTAGATAAATCAAGACAAGGGTCTCTATCTATCTCTTGAGGAAATAACTCCTTTGAACTCTGTGAAAGACATTTTAGTTCTAACTTATGCTGCTTTCCATTAACATATATAAAAGAAATCACAGTAGAGTGATCCTAAGAAAATTAAATGGTATAATTTTGCTCTTAATTGGGTAATTGTGGAGGTTAATAATTGGAGTAAATCAATATAAATTCAAGACATTTTAATATTATATTGGTTTTATATAGGAGAGAGAAACATAAAAAAAAATCAAAACAGATTATTCAAAAGCAACAGCAAATTGTTTAAAAGGAATATTCATCAAATAACATTACTGAAACAAAGTGAACATGATTTAATTGATTCAAGTCAATTTTAGTATTTGATACATAGAAGTGTTAGCAGAAGACCTTGTGTCCCAAGGTTTCATCTCCTGTATGGCTCATGTTTCCCATAAATTTGGCAGTTGTACTTTACATTCTGTGGACTCTCAGTGAAGACTAATGAATAAGAGGCTATGGCTTAAGCCCTTAGGATAAGGTGAAATGCTTTTCCAGAAAAATACTCCAGGAGGGAGTTTCTAAGGTCATCTTATCAACTCAGGTCTCAAAGCCCCAAAATTAACAGTCCTTTTAACTTTCATTCTAGCAAGTATCTAATTGAGTTAGCAAGCTCAATGAATTTTCACTGGCAGCAAACTCCACATATTAACTAGACACATTGCCAAATTAATTTTTCCCCATTTAAAATATTCTACTCATTAACTTTAGGAAATTTTTTAGACTTTTATTATTTGGGGAAATAAAATATTATTCTTCTCCATAAGGTTTATTTGGTGTACTTTTTTAGTGTACTCTCATTTACCTCTCTCTTCTGGAATGCTAAGAAACAGTGGACTTCAGTTTTCATTAAATCTGAATTTAATGAAATCTGAAGTCCACTGTTAGTTTTAGAATTAGTCAAATAATTAGTTCAAGTGACTGGCCTTGGTTCATCACCTGTGCACCATATTATAGGGGGACCCTTTGATGAAAATGCATAAAAATAATTTGATCAAATGTAACAAACTTCTTGTAGATTCCTTTTCTCTTCCTTCATGTCAGTGGAGAGTATCTGTCTGCCTATCATCTATCTCTTCCTATCTATCTCCTATAGCTTGCACAAGTTTTAAGGACTTTTTTCTCTTCAAGGGCATAATCCAGGCACCAGTTTAGAGATGTATAAGGAGCAATAGTGTGGGATACAGGTGATCTTGGTTTTAATGTCTGGTCAACCACCAAGTCTTCACATTACACAAAATAATTCATTAATTACTTTGGATGTTAGTTTCTTTGCTGGTTTAATTTCACCTCAATTACCCTGTAGCTCATTTGCTATGAAAAATAATATAAGGGATATAAGCATATCTTGATTATTATTACTGACAGCTTCTGTATTTAAGATTCTTTGAGTAAAAAAATTCAGATCAGAATTCTCATTTAAGATATCTTTCAGTAAACTATTTTCAAGTATTTAGCACTGCATTATAAGCATGTTTTCCTGACACTTAATGCATATAATAAAAAATGATAAATGAAAATAAGAATATAATTTTATCATTGATCTGTTTCTTTAAGTTTAAAAATTTGACACATTAAGTGTCTGAACAGCTTTTGTGAAACTAGTCAAACAACCTTCTAAGAAAGGATTTTTTGGCAGGAGTAAAAATTTTCCCAGAGCCTTTCTTGTGGAGGGATTTCAATGGGGGTTTTTTCAAGGGTAGGACTCTTTTGGGGGTTTGCAGTGCTCTTGCTATCTCCACATGCTCATTGCAGTAATACTTGTTGCTTCCTTCTGACAGATGGATGAGTGTACGTTCTGCCAGATCCATGCACTGGGCATGGACCCAGTGCCCATCTCCATGAGAGCAATAGATCATGGCAGGTTTGTTGAGTTCAGTTGAATAAAATGGTACCCAAGTGTTGATATCCACATCACAAGTATGGCAGCATGTAATCCAGTAGCCTGTTTCAGACTCATCTTCCTCATCATCTTCATTATAGGTGTCAAATTCATCATCACCGTTGAAACTATATGCTTCTGCACTGAAACAAAATTCTTCTGAGTCTTCAAAGGGAGTAGAGTCCCCTGGGTCTTCTGTTGGTGTCTGACTAGTTGTGAGTGCTTTCTGATCTTCATTTACATCATCTTCAGCACATTTCAGTATATAGAAATAGAATGCTTCTGAAGCAGCCTGTTTATTGTCTCCTGGTATGCCAAGGAAAACAGTTCCATTTCCCATGTTGTTCCCAAACCATATCTTGCTGTGCTTAATATCAGGGGTCCAATCTGGGGTCTCCATCTGACGAATTTCTAGCTTGCTGTCGTCAAAAGAGACAATATTACAGACCATTCTTTTTTGATTTTCAAGTTGATAGCCACCAACAATAACAAATTCATCCTTGTTTGTTTGAGTCAAGATTGCACTGGAGACAGAGATTCCTCCTGGCAAAACTGTGCAATTCACAGCTGGGCTACCCAGGAGGAGATCAACCCTTATTCTGTATAGGTTGGCAGGGCGGATGTTATTGGCAAGTGAATGTCCTCCTAAAATATAAATGGTATCATTTCTGGCAATGGAGACATGAAAAGATAGCCCATCCTGAAGTTCTGGAAGAATGTATGACACAGAGCACCCAAATTCAAAATCTACCAAGAAAACATGGGGCAGGCAGTCAGCTACGCTATTCCATTTTTCTGTGGTTCTTTGGGCAGAAGGCATGTATGACCGTCCTCCAAAGAGAACACCCATGCTTTTCCCTCGACTATATACCACATCAATGGTATGACCATATCTGGCTTCAGGAACATCTCCTACCAAGTCTTTCTCTATGCAGCGAAAAGTAACTTTTTTGTTGTTCTTGCAAACAACAGACATGACATAAATCTTATCTGAAAGTTCATTGTTTGGTGTTTTCCCTCCATGGATGATGTACTGATGTTTTTCCGACTCTAAGCTGCCTTTGAATGTGCACGTGGCTGGGTAGCGAAGAGGAGGAAGATAGCAGGAATCCTTAGAGAAAACTGTAGGCTTCAGTTTGAGATGGTTATGCTGTATATCAAAATGGAAAACTCCAGTGGGGCAGGACCTCTTGGGCCAGCCTTTTTGGCCAAAGAAGAAAATTTGCCCATCAAAATTCATGAGTGAGAAGCCTGGTTGAATTAAGGCTATGTTGTTACTGACTGTTACCATCTGTAGCGACATATTTTCAAGATCGTTTACAGCTCTTTTATCTGAAAAATTTCAAAAAACCAGAATTGCTTTATTGTATTTCTTTTTATAAATCACTGTGTTTAGATCTTCTCACATATAAAAAGCATGTTTAAATAAAAAGTAGTGGAAATGAGCAAAGAGCAACAGAACCTTCTTAATACGATCCAGCAGCTGGGACATGTTATAAACATGGCCTAGTCTCCCTTAGATTTCCGGGAATTGTAGTCCTCTTTCCTGAGGAGTCCCCCACTTATCAGCAGGGAGAACTACATTTCCCAGGAATCTGTTCTCTATGGGATGTGTGACTAGTTTGTCTGTTCCAGGACTGGAGACTTCCAGTTCGTCTCTCGGAATAAGACTCCAAAAGTGCGAAGTGACTAGATGGGAGACCAGGCGGAAAGCTAGGAAATGGGAGGTGAGAGTGGCATCCGGGGGCCGGGAAGGCGTCGGCTCGGAAAGGGGCGCCCGGCAGCCCTTCGTCCCCGTACGTCTCCCCGGGACTATTAAACGGGTGACCAGTAGGAAGCACACCTGCTTCTGGTTTGAGTAGGGTTGCGTGTAAACCGAAGCCTAAAGGCACAACCCTGTCTAGATGTCGTTGCAGACCTCGGCTTCACGCTCTGGGGGAGTCGACCCAGAATTTCACCCCTGAGCATCCTAAGGTTGCTTGGGCGGGGGGGTGAGGGGGGCCCCGAGATTACAAAATCTGTGACTATTTTACAGAACCGAAAGTCACTCTCCGAATACCTGGAGTGCAGGGGAGAAATTACCTGATAATGATTTTTTTACCCACTGCTGTATTTAGTAATGGAAACACACTAATGAGACTTTAGCGAGTACGTCAAAGGGCCTTTGTTTTCTCAACGGCTCTTGCAGTCTTCAGGGCCCTTTTAGAGAAGCAAAGAATATTCCTAAAACACCTCTGTCCCCGCTTCCTCCCCCTTCCTCCTTCTTCTCCCCCTCTCCCTCTAGGAAAATAGATTTGGTGGTTATTATTTCATATCTCTTTGCACCGCAAGAAATTTGAAGTAACTCTGTAGTAAGCAGGCATTAAGCAGAGAGGTGCCGGAATTATTAAGGATTTAATATTTGTAGTGTAATATTGTTTAAAAAAATGTATTTACTAGGTGAAGTAAGCTTGATAAATTTTTATTTTATTATTATCACCTACCTTACGGAGATGTCAACAGCCTTAATAAGAAATACACTTTGCAGAGTGAAGTTCTAGGCACCACGTGCTAAAGGAAACAATAGCACAGATTCCTTGACTTTTAAGAGTGAATTGTAATATGCTTTAAAAACAGTATAAAACAGTTTAGGAGTATATCCAGCTAGGAGTAGACTCTGAAGGATGACTAGTTATATTTAAATCCTGGCTTTGTTACTTATTAACTACAGGAACCCAGGCAAGTAATTTAACCTCCCTCTGTCTGTATCCTCATCTATAAAATGAGGTAATAATTTTGCCTACCTCATATGTTAAGGTATAATTAGTAAATTAATACATATAAGCACTTAGAAAAGGGCCTTGCACACTGTCATAGTTATGATTATGCTTGAACTTATAAAAAGTAAGGTTGTTAGTGCACAATTACCAGCCAGTCATGTCAGATGATATTTATAATGTTGGAAATGGTTAGAAGGGCTTTAGGACCTGAAATATATCTGGTCAGTGGGTATAGACGGATAACTTTCTAGACTAATGAGAATTGGATAAGCATATACAATGAAGGAGCTGGTGGCGAGTTCAATTTAAATAACAGGAAATACTTCATTATTCTTGCACTTTCTCTAACCACTTATTAAATATGCAGACTCTGAAGTTGGATCATCTGGGTCCATCCTGGGCTCTAAAACTTAGGAGCTGTGTAACTATCTCGGGCAAGTTACATTCTCTGTTCTTTCTTATCTGTAAAATAGGGATAATATTAGTACCTATTCATTGGGTTGTCTTGAAGAATAAATGGGATAACACTTGTAAATCACAGAGCATAGTGTAAGTATTCAACAAATGTTAGTTGATACTATATTTTTATTTCCTCTGAAAAATTCCTTGGACTACTTAGAATGTATGGTTTGTTTAATGAGATGTTGGTGGGGATTTTTACTTTGAAACACTTCTGTAGTTAAATTGTTAAATATTCTCCTCTACTTATTTTTAGTTTACTTGGGAAATTCTCAAGGTGTGGTATTTTAGTAGGCATTCTGTGGGTTGCTAAACCAAGTGAGGAAATGGTGAGTGAGAGAGATTTTTACAAAAGTTATGAAAGCAATTCTCTGTTTCTCAGACCACGTTGAGTGGTAGGTCCAGCAACTGGCCCTGCTTGTGAAATAACATGGGCAACTGTTCCTTATTCATGGCCTACCCAAGAATACAAAAGAGAAGGCATCTGTGCAGCTACGGTAATGCTCTCCATAGGAACTAAAACAAAATATTGTTGGCCCTCAATTCAGTAAATGAAAACCATAAGTGATTGCACTCAGCATGATGTGTGACGACTGTTGGCGTTGCCCACGTTTGGGTGGAGGGAGTGCTGAAGCTAATGCCTGCTAGTTTTAAACCTATGAAGAATGTTATTGGGATATTAAGCAAGTCATACAGGGGTAATTCCAGATCCCAGGGGGTGAACATACACCATGAACATATGCTTTTAAACAGCAAGCTTTTAAAAAAATGTTTTCACTATAGCCTGTAGGCTTCATTTGAAGGTTGTCATAGGGATTTTGGTTTCTCTTAAGTGAAAATATGATTATTGCAGATTAAATGGAGACATTTTCTTGGGTAAAACATGAAAAATTCTACCCATTTTTTGTAGCTTAGTTTTGGTCCCTTATGATTACTGCTGTGCTTCCTTTGATGCCCTGCTATTGGTGCACCTCAAAATGTAAGGGCCCTAAAAACAGTGTTAAAGTTAGTTATTGTTAAGATTAGTTACCTCCTCTTATACCACAGGCCAAGTATTTGTGTATTTAATTTTTAGATTACCCATTTTAAACCATGACTGATTGAGTTACATATTTAAAGAATAAACAAGAGCATTGAAAGAGTTTTACATTTTTTTTGCCATATTTATTTAGTTTTTGAAATTTTGCTTTATTAACTTAATTGTGTTTTCACTGGAGGAGCTATTGTATATTTTCCTTAGTCTTAATATGACTCTATTAGTCACATCTTGGTTTTTAAGAGTTTTTAAAAGGTTATACTAGAACTAAAATAGTCTACTTTCTTTAAATAGGCTAGATAAAACTGGTAGATTTTGCAAAAGACACTGTTCTTCAACTGAAGGAAGTTTCAAAGTCAACACATTAAAGCTTCTTTTTAAAAGACAGAAATATAGGACCAATAAATTTATACAATCTTCCCAACCCCATGCTAACATTCCTCAGCAGGGAGATTTTCATTTATTTGCTGTAAAGCTAGGGCATAGTTGAAAATCAAAAGAGGACTAATGGTATGAGGTCTGGGTTTGTAGTTTCCTATGTCTGAACTGACTCTTTTTTCCTTCCAAAGAAAGGTACTGTACTCTGAAGCATTGAATCTTAATGATCAGTGTTACCCATGTTTTCTTGATTGCTCCAAAATAGCAGGTACCTTCATGTCACTGCAGTCATTTAGTGCATGAATTAACTCTCTCTACACAGTTAATCAGTTTTGAGGAATAGATTGTTTGATTTTTTTTGCTGGCAGTAAAGCCAGGGTTTGATCTTTTTCCTGACCCTTATGCCAGAGAAGCACTTATACACTAAGATTAATACATGGGCTCTGAAGCCACAGGAATTAAGTCCTTGCAGCAACCTGAGACCAAAAGCCCCATATTTTCCAAATTGTCCATCATCCCTTCCCCTTCTGGATAACCAATCCACCTGTAACTAACACACTGCTGAATGGGGACATCATCTTTCACTTAAAATTGGTAAATGTAGGCACCCATCTTTTAGCTTTGGTAGAAATGAAGGTATTGGACCTACCTGAAGGCCAGAGGGGCTGCTCACCCCTCTCTGAATCTTTGCCGCTAAACCAGGTATTAAGTGTCAGCACTTGGGAAGATTCACTGACTGCCCACTCTGACTGGCAAGTAGAACTGACGATGAAGAGTGTGTGCGTGCCTACAGATGTTCCTGTGAGCTCTGATCTAACGGGAGTAACTGACTGTGACCTTTTTTTTCTTCAGATGGTTGAGGAAGATATATACCACAGTGTACCATTAAGATTTAACCATTTCCTTACTGGCAGACAGTGGAAACATGGAAACACAATCCACTATTTGTAAAGACAACATCTGGTTGAAACCTAGTTTATATTTTTATTAAAAACATTTTAGAAGAACACAGATGAAATGAACATAATGACTGTGATTTAAATGAATACCACTATGAACCAAATGGTAAGTTATTTTTCTTAAAACAGAGAACACTAACACCAATGTCAGTTTAAAACAAAATTTTTTTACTACGGTATGATTGATATACACTCTTATGAAGGTTTCACATGAAAAAACAATGTGGTTATGACATTTACCCATATTATCAAGTCCCCACCCATACCCCAATGCAGTCACTGTCCATAAGTGCAGCAAACCAATATCATTTTGACATTGAATTGCTCTTCAACAGTCTCATTTTCTTTAATACAAGGTTCAGAAGGAGTTCTAATTTATTGGAGGCCTACTGCCAACTTTATGTCAGGGAGCTGCTGTGTAATACTATACAGTGGAATGATTAAGAAAGCGGACCTTAGAGTCAAGCTGACATGGTTTTCTCCGCCTACTCTGCCATTGTCCAGGTGGAGTCATCTTAATGCTAAGCCTCTGTTTCCCCATCTCTGAAATGGGGGTCTAGAAATATTTATCTCAAAAGATTGTTGTAAAAGATTAAATGAGGTAATGTTTTTAAGTGCTCACCAAGGAAGATATTTTCTAGTGGTCTTTTTTTTTTTAAGCATTGCTTTACAATTTTTATATTTTTCCAAAGGTTTCTAGTGGTCTTAATAATGAAAACTACGTTGGTAGCCTCTCCCATTCCCACCCCAAAATTTCACAGAAGACAAAAAAACGAAGTTGGCAAGAGTTGACTTAATTTTTTAAATAGACTATTTTTCAGAGAAGTTTTAGGTTCACAACAAAATTGAGTGGAAGGTACAGAGTGGAAGGCTATCCACTCATGCATATCCTCCCCCAATCAACATCCCCACTAGAGGTATAATAATTAGAAATGTACCTAAATTGACACATCATTATCACCCAATGATAATATTGCTCTTGGTGTTATATATTCTATTACTTTGGACAAATGTATTATGACATGTATCTGCAATTGTAGTACCTTCCAGAATAGTTTCATTGCTTTAAAAATACTCCGTTCCACTAATTCAACCCTTCCTCTCCACTAACTCCTGTCAACCAATGATTTTTTTTACTGTTTCCATAGTTTTGCCTTTTCCAGAATGTCACACAGTTGGAATCACACAGGATGTGGCCTTTTCAGATTGGTTTCTCTCACTTAGTTTCACCGCGGCTTATTTATCGTTCTCCTCCAAAAGGGCATGTTGGGTGCTTCCAGGTTTGGGCATTTACAAATAGAGCTGCTATAAACATCCATGTGCAGATATTTGTGTGGACATGTTTTCAACTCCTTTGGGTATATACCAAGGAGTATGACTGGTGGATCATATGTAAGAGTATTTTTCATTTTGTAAGAAACCACCAAAGTCTTCCAAAGTGGCTGTACAATTTTACATACCCACTAGTGATGAATAGAGTTCGAATAGAGTTCCTATGGCTCCACATTCTTGCCAGCACCGGTGTTGTCATTGTTCTGGATTTTGGCTATTCTAATAGGTGTGTAGTGGTTTCTCATTTTAGTTTGCATTTCCCTGATGACATAGGATGTGGAGCATCTTTTCCATCTGTGTATCTTTTTTGGTGAGGTTTCCTGTTAAGGCCTTTAGCCCATTTTTTAAATTGGGTTGTTATTTTTGAATTTATGTTTTTTAGATAACAGTCCTTTATAAGATACATCTCTTGCAAATGTTTTCTCTAAGTCTGTGACTCTTCTTTTTATTTTCTTGTCAGGGCCTTTCACAGAGCAGAAGATTTTAATTTTAATGAAGTCCATCTTATCAATTATTTTTTTCATGGGTCATGCCTTTTGTTGTATCTAAAAGGTGTTGCCATACCCATGGTTACCTAGGTTTTCTTCTGTTATCTTATAGGAGCTTTATGATTTTGCATTTTACCTTTAGGTCCATTTTGAGTTAATTCTTGTGAAGGGAGTAATGTCTGTGTCTAGATTGACTTTCTGCATGTGGTTTCAGAATTGCTGGTGGAAACCATTGTGCTCTATTGTATTACTTTTGTTCTTTGTTAAACTTCAGTTAACTATATTTATGTGGGTCCATTTCTGCTGTCTCTATTCTGTTCTATTGATCAATTTGTTATTTCACCAATACTACACTGTCTTGATTATAGTAGCTCAGTTAATTTTAAACCAATTCATTAAAAACAGGTACATCAAGAAACAAATATATAAAAATACATATATACCATCTATTAAGCTCATCACCTAACCACTGAGGTTTTTATTTCTTTGTGCTCTATTCTAATGTTTATCCAAACATATATACATATTTTTACCTAATTATAAGAATGTGTTTAAACTTTATCTTTTTAATACAACATTTCATACACACTAAGAAATTTGTATTTTATTTCCACCTTTACAATTTTTAATAGATTTCATTAAGTAATTGTAACATAATTTATCTGACCATCTGCTATTGTTGGTCTTTTAACCAGTTTTCATGTGGCGTAGATGATAGAATGCAGTGATCAGAGGTAAACAGTTACACATTGAAGTCTCAGTTCTGTCACTTAATAACTGAATGACCGTTTTGAGCTTCAGTTTCCTTATCTCTAAAACAGGGATGATACCTGCCTTATTGTGAGGATTAATGAATATAAAGTATCTGGTTTAAAGAGTCTACTCAATAAATCTTGCCCAGTGATGATGATGCTTATAGGTGTATTAGTATAAGTGACTGTTTTTGTTTTTTGCAAAATGTTAGGATGTATTTTCAGAGTCGACGTTTTAAGAACTGATGAGTAGTTCAGTTGTTTGACTGTTTCTCATCATTTGAAATGCTGGCCAATCCTTTAAAAAAGCAGCATCATCCCTTCTAGTTATTTCCATGATGATATTTTTTCTTTGACTACAAGAAAGTATTGGGTTATTTTGCTAACCTGTTTTTGGTGTTTTATGATGAGCATGGTATGTGAAATTCCAGCATCAATGACAGCTTCATGAAGTTGACATATTAGATATCTCCACAGTAAGTACAAAATAAGAAACACAAATAGAAACCATGGGTAAGTTTAGGCAAGTATTTTAGCCTTTGCATTTTACCAGCACCAAAACCAGGAATTTTGTTGTTGAATGGGTTGTCTTCTGAATAAACTGGAAATTAGCAACACATTTAAAAATGGTTTTTAAAACTCTGAGTCTTTGTCATACCATTAGGAAAGCATTTGACTTGCAGTGATCTTGGTCAAGATCCATTGACTGACATGCTCAGTATAGAAACTAAATGTTAAGTAGTAAAAGATATTTATTGAGCAACTGCTGTCTACAGAATCATGTGGGAAATTAGAAAAACAATCACGGCCCCAAGTCTTGCCCTTAAGGTATGTATATTATTGTAGAATGAAGGAACTTTGCAGGTAAACATGCTTCACATTCTTCCCACACTCACCCTTAAAAATTCTTAAAAGTTCACCAAGAAATCACAATTAGGCCACTTAGCCATTCTTAGACTTTGAGGCAGAATCAAATTAAAACTCCTAGTGAAATATATTGATTTTTCCTAGCTTAAATCCAAAAACAGACGACTATTAAAGAATACAAGTCAGTGTGATTACAGAATAAAATATTTGTTATTCCACAGGGGAGATAAAAGTAACAGGATATACTGACATAGTAATTGAACAAAAGGAAGCTTAACTGGAGAAAAGTAGTCCAGTCCCTTTATTTTTCCATTCGAACTACTTAAGGCCAGACAAGTTGTGTAAGTTGATCAGGGTAACACAGCTACAGGGATGTGTGTACGTGGTGGGCAGAGGGGAGCAGCAGAGAAACACTCTTCTGCGAACTCATGACTGTGTTTTTCAAGAAGTATAGTCCAACTCTCTAGCATTTCCATTCCCATGTTGTAAGTGGAAAAACAACTCAGTTATGCTGCTGCTCAGTGAGTTAATTAGTGTTTGAAATAAGGCCAGTGGCAACTTTTCATAGTGTTCAGATAGGCATAGACAATTTTGCTTTATAAAAAAATGGCTGATTTTTAAGGAAATACTTTAAATAGTATAGGAAAGGGAAAGGTTTGGCTTGTTGAATGAATCTTACAATATGAACCACAACTCAAACTGGCAAAAAGGAGAAAAGAGGAAGGAAGGGGAAATGTATAGAAGGAAACAATCTACAGTTAGTTATGATGGATTGTCAAGAGAAGAACATGACAAGTGGCTTGTCATTTTTATTTAAAGCAATTAATTAAATATGGCCACCTGGCCGGGATGGTTGGTATTTTCCGGTGTTCCATGTCCTCTGATTTAAGTTAGACTCTTTGCTGTAAAATAGAATAGAAAAAAGGTTTAGAGGTTGTTTTTGCATGTTGTACTAGAAAAAAATTCATTTAAAAACTTTATTTTTAAATAAGGGAATTTGTATTTATTAATTTCTATTTTTAGTATAGAAACAGTGTTGGTAAAAAGAAATTGTTTTTTTTTTTTTGTGTGTGTGTGTGTGTACCTTGAAGCAAAATTACAAATAAAATGCTGAGAGTAATTGGAAGCTAGGGAGCCACTGTATCACCTCTTAAGGCCCATTTATTATTCCACAGTCATATGAATTTTGAATAAAATGTAGTTGGGAAATACATCTTTAAAATCTTAGTTTTTAAAAGGGAATGTCAAAAGAAAAGGTGAATTTTATTTGTAAGATCTGGCATTTTGAAACACTTAAGACATGAATTCCTGTAAACGGAGTTGATTTACTTGGGTTGTTCTACACCTGCTCCTAAGTAGCTGTGCCGGTTTTGTTTTGAAGTAGGCTTTCTAGTGTTGTGAAAGTGCTGTGCACTGTGTGAGTTGCTGACAGGCTCAGGAAGCTGGATAGAAGGGGGATAACTTTAATTAAGAGTGAATGCCTTTGTTACAGTTTTATGCAATACAGATAAAATAAGTCTTAATGGGATATTGCATCCCTTGTAGAGGAGGGATTACCATTGAGCTAATAAATCTTTTGTGATTGAAATGTTATTGGATGATTATAGAGCTATAAAGTTGACTCAGGAACTCTACTGCCTTTTGGATACACAGCCTATCAGGGGCCT